ACAAGAAACGTATATCATATTGTTACGACAGTGGTAGTCACGTGACCCTGGTAATACATCATGATATTATCGAAGGATCGGGGAACATCATGAATAATCCAGTATTTGCTAGGCGCCCTCTATTCTTGTATATAAGTGCGCCAGTTAAAGTGAAATTAATTAATCGGAATTGAATTGCAGACAGACAGAGACGGACATTTGAGTCAAGCGCGGTAGTGACCGTAAGTAAAAGGCGTGAATCGTTTTGAATTATAGCGTGAGTTTAAGTTAAAGTGACTGTGGAAATTAACTGTATTGCAAAGTAGAATTGAGAAAGAATAAACTAGTTTTATTTAAGAAAAGACTTGTATCGCAAAAGTTCCTTTGGAAAGAAATTCTATGGAAAATTAACAAACGACTAGAAACGTAACAATATTATTATGTTATTACGAGGTTTGGTCAGATTTGTATCACGAGTAACCAGTTTCCAATGGTGACAGCCATACAACCAATGTTTGTGTTTTAATCCAATTGTTGCTAGATATAGGCTAAGATTTGACAATGGCATAGAATAGCAAATACTCACATTCTTTAAATCAAATTCATTTGTTTACACAATTCTTCTTGCCCTAATAAGTACGATTTAGACTCAATCTTACACATAAAATTAAATATGTTATGAATAGTTTCTTCTGGAACCTAACTCTGGCTTAGGCCTAAATGTATTTTACACATACCAAGTATATTTTGTTTCCTTGATATAGAACTCCCTTTTATGTGTGAGTCAGGTTTTTATCAAGGATTTTCTTGTAGACTCCTTATTTATATGTGTTAGACTGTCAATTTATTATTAAACATATAATATTATTGAATATACCTAACAAAATTGAGTAGATCTACATATGTTTAATTGTACAAAATGGTTGAAAAACTCTAGACAACAATATTTGGTTGGGCAAGACACCATATGTATTGAGTAGTACTTATTGTTTTCATCAGTTAAGCTATTTTCATTTAGACAAATAACTGTAAAAATTGATTTATGTATAACTGTATCAAAACATTTACGAGAGAAATAGTTGATCAAAGCTGGAAACTGTTAATCGGTATTACTACTAATTTACTAGTCTTCAACGACGTTAATTTATCCTTGATGTAAATTTGTAACCTGACCTTTTGCCTATAGACAACTGATATGCGGGAACTCTGTAATAGTTTCCCGACTGCCAGTTAAGCAAAATACACCAGTGTAGGGCCTATAGTCTTTCAATAGTAATATATGTATTAGTTTCGCTATCTCCATAATAGATTGGGATCTGAAAATACATTTGGTTTTAGCGGCATTGTCACTAACCTTTCATCTTAGACTTCTTCCTTAAAACATAGAACAAATATGAATAGCCTCAATTAAACAACTCAGCTTCGTTGTTCTTAAAAGAGTCATTAACCTTCTAGAAATAAAAAGCAATTGGCTGTTAAAGCATACTTTGTACAATAAAAGCAACTGAATGTTACAAGTAGGAAGCTAATAACCCTAATACAAAGTGTATAAAAATATATTTTCTTAAAATAATGAATGAATGCATTCCGTAATGGCAACGTTGAAATTCATGCATTTGTAAAGTTTCATTTTCTTTCTTCACAGAAATAAAGCAAAGTGTAAATTAAGTTCTAAGTGTCTGTAAAATTTACATAAATTGCCACATCATATAGTTGTTATACAGCTCTAAAATAACCGTAGTTATCACATTTTCTTATCTGTTTTTCATGGATTATATTGCGTTTACTCTACAGGGAAAGGAAACGTTAATGACTGACATTCAAGCAGCTTTAGACAAAGCGAAGGAGAACGTCCAGTTTGGAGAAACCATTTTATATAATGCTAAACAATTACCAAAAAAAGTAAAAGGTATAATATGTTATTCACCATTTGAAGTAACATCTGTAAGTAAGTTATGTTATGCCAGCCGCCTTGAGCACTTTATAGTTGAATATCAAACACTTGTTTAAGGGATATAAATACTCCACTTAAATTCGAATATCGTAATGGAACAGCAATTATACTATGAGTAATATGGAAGACTTTATTATTTTGAACTACAAAACAGTATGATCCAGAATTTGACTAAACTTAAAGTTAGAACCAGGGTTGTAGCTCAGAATACGACTAATTTAAAGATGTTATTGCTAAAATTATATCTGAGTTCACATGTTTAGGATTTAACTTGTTTAAAAAATGTTAAAGACTGCAGTCCAAATGTTTCGTTAAAGATACAACTAATTTAGAAAGATTAGGACCAGGTCTGTATTTGACTTGGTCCTTTCAAGATCTGTTTAATTTTGTAATGCTAGGACTGTGATATTTTCAGAATTATATCTGAGGTGATAATTACCTTTACTGCAGTTACTTTACTATCGAGTACATATAATAGTTATACAGGTAACTAGTTTTATACATATGTCGAAACTTACCCATGCTTTTTACATTCTACTCAATTTCAAAATAAATAATCCTCAGTTCGAAAATGAATAACCTTCATTAATTACATTAATAGGGATATTACTGAGGTATTTACACTTTATCTATATACCATGCAAGGTAGTTCCTGTAGGATGTATTTTTATAACATAAATATATAATATTTGGTGTGTAACATACTAATAATTGTACTTCTGTGTTTAAACTTTGAATTCGGTTTCATTTCTACTAATAACACGACGTAGCTAATATCTTAATGAAGATAGGTTCAACTACCATATGAAACCAGTTTTATGTATGCAGTCAACACTCGAATTGTTAGACAAAAACCGATTATCATGTTTTTGAAAGGATACTCGACTACTTAGTCGCTAAACCAACAACAAGAAATAAGTAAACCTTTATGTAATAAGTGATTATCGTGTTCTTGAAAGTCGCTAAATCAATAATGGGGATCGAATGAGTGAGACTGCTTACAAACGACTGTGTGAAACGTCTTGTTCCTGAACAGCACTTGACAGTGTCCAGTTTCTACAGATACAGTTGTCAGACGCTTCTGAACTTATATAGACAGTTGATACTAATCGTTCTTACTATTGTTTTCATGAAATGTAGCAATATGTAAACTACTGTGTGTAAATTAAACCACAATTCGTTCTCAGGTACAACTCTGTCCCAGATGAAATAAAGTAAAGTAATAACATCAATCTAAAACCCTTATAAATTTAAATATTTCCCAAATCATGTGTTTGGTTTAAATGAATTCAAAAAATGAGATGTAAGAACCACGTAAGTGATAATATTAATATTTTTCTGAAAACTAAGGACAGTAACTCTTAGGTATTTTAATGCTCTGACTATTACACCGACATCCAACATCAAATCACATTCCACACAGTTATAAATTTTGTATTGTAAATATATTAAAAAGAACCCCTCTCCCTCACCCAGTAATACAGCGATAAGTGTACACAGCTTATAATGCAAAAAACCGGGTTTCGATAACCGTGATCGCCACATTATAGATAGCCCATTGTGTGGCTTTGTGATTAATTACAGACAAACAAAAATAGTTATTATTTGCTTCTGTAAAAAAAGTAGATAAAATCTTCCTCATCTGTGACTCTACCATGATGGTTTTACTTTCAAGTACGAAATATTTGTTTAAGACACACAGGTTCTGATGAAATAAAACATAATATAATATTCTTATATAAAGATGGCGAACAGTCAGCGGGAAGTTTTGTACAAATGAAAGTATCAAAAACTGGAGTTCATAAAACAATCAAAAGATACAATGAAACTCGTACCACTGATGACACCAGCAGGCCCGGAAGACCAGTTAGACTTTCCATCTTAGATGTTAAGCACCTGAGGCTTACTTCACCCTGAGACAAACGAAACGTAACAGATGTCTTGCTGCATAACTTCTAGAAATCGATGATGTTAAGGTTCACTTTTCCACAAAATGATAGAAATTGCGTCAAGAAGGACTGAAAGGATGCACTGCAGCAAGAAAGCCTACGCAGAACCCAGGCCTAAATATTGTTGAGTGTGTGTGAGACTATCTCTAAGCCTATATATTGTGGGACTATCTCCAGTCCTAGATATTGTTAACTGTGTATGGGACTACCTCCAGACCCGGATATTGTTAAGTGTGTGTGGGATTATCTCCAGGCCTGGATATTGTTGAGTGTGTGGGGGACTATCTCCAGTCCTGGGTATTGTTAAGTGTGTATGGTACTACCTCCAGATCCGGATATTGTTGAGTGTGTGTGGGACTATTTACAGGCCTGGATATTGTTGAGTGTGTATGGGACTATCTCCAGGCCTGATTATTGTCGACTGTGTGTGGGACTATCTACAAGCCTGGATATTGTTGAGTGTTTGGGGGACTATCTCCAGTCCTTGGTATTGTTAAGTGTGTGGGGGATCATCTTGGTTGAGAAAAACAACAAAGGAGCTGAAATCAAAGGAGGAACTCTGGTCTGTGATTCAAGACGCATGGAATTCGGTTTTTGTTATATGTATTTATTTTGCTTTCAGACATTATGAATTTTTGAAACACCCGCACTAAAAAGAACTCGGCGTGTATTTAACTAAAAGCACAAGGTGATTATTGAATAGTCTGTAATGTGTGGACAGTATTACAGGTGTCACAACACTTTCCAGCACTACTTTGGACGATAATGATGATCGTGTTATAATTAAATACAGGATATTTTTAACACTATCAAATGCTTGATAATAATAAATAAAAATCGTTTGATGTGTGACTCAACACTAATTAGAAAAAACAAAAGTTGGACTTTTTCTTAATTTACTAAATCATAATACGGTAATCTTTTACGAAATATGGTAACCCAGCATTATCTGGAATTAACTAATAGATTATCCGTATATGTTAATTCAATGACTTTATAAATTAGATTAGCTGTCTTCCTTTGTTGTAGCAAAGTAAATATTATTATAAGTTGATAATAAGGAAAACTTATAGTATACTTTGAATAAAAGTCGTTGAATAATTTAAAATCTGTATATTAGTTTATAATCAATGAACACGTTTCACAAACTTAGGTAAATATGAATCTTAATATTAATTATAATCAATGAACACGTTTCACAAACTTAGGTAAATATGAATCTTAATATTAGTTATAATCAATGAACACGTTTCACAAACTTAGGTAAATATGAATCTTAATATTAGTTATAATCAATGAACACGTTTCACAAACTTAGGTAAATATGAATCTTAATATTAGTTATAATCAATGAACACGTTTCACAAACTTAGGTAAATATGAATCTTAAGACTAATATTAATATAGATTGCTGATAAAACATCGAATTGTTATCTTTATAGAATGCGACAATATCGTCCAAAAGTACAAGAAAGAAGATGTAAGTAGTATAGAAACAATACTTTCGTTAATCACAGAATCTGACCAGAAGACGGGAGAAAAAAGGACCGCTCTAAGCAAAGCAGAAACTGTCACTGTAGATGCTAAAGAAAAGGCCAGGGAAAGTGAGTTAATTGTCTCCCCGACGTTTCAGGTATACATTGAGAAAACTATTATCAGTAATGGTAGATTTCTCAAATTATAAGAACGCAAGTAAATATATGTTATTTGTGCAAGCTATCAAACTCGTGGTTATAATGCTTGTTTACGAAACTTTTGCTACATTTTTCGTGGTAAAAAAAATCCCCCCGAAATGTTTCAAGCTTCTTTCAAACTGAAGCAAAAAAAAAAGTTTGAAAACGTAATTCTAGAATTATATTCATTTTTCCAAAGCATGTTCGCTCTTTCAGGAGTTGGGGCGTTAAAATATGACGATCAATCCCGCTATTAGTTAGTAAAGAGTAGCTCAAATGTTGGCGGTGGGTAGTGTTGACTAGCTTCCTTTTATCTAGTCTATCACTTCTAAATTAGGGACAGTTAGCGTAGATAACCCTCTGGTATCTTTCGCGAAATTCCACAAGTTACCAATAAATAAGAATAAGCTTTCTGTACAAATGATAAATTTGTGCATACATTTGTTTATTTTCTTTGCAATTAAGCACAAAGCTACACAATGGGCTATCTGTGCTGTGCCCACCATGGGTATCGAAACCCGGATTCTAGCGTTGTAAGTCCGCAGACATACCGCTGTGCCACTGGGGGGCTTGTACATACATGCAGGTCTTCATGTCTACACTACTTACTTATTACATAGTGCGATTATTCGCCTTCATCATGTCAGATGGCTTAAGAGGGAAGGAGGGCGCAACCAACTGATAGCGTGCTAGACCTTGCTAAGAGTAAAATGACAAATGACAATATATATATATGGAGAGGTAAATATAACTCTAACTAGAAAAAAAATGTCTTCAGTCAGGTAGATTATGTGTATTTGAAAACCATACAATATCTAGTTCCTTGTTTCACAGATTTAGCCAGACATCTTATTATTCTTATGTGATTGTGGAAACGAAGTGGCTATGAAACTGTAAAAGGTTTTTATTTTATTTTGCTTTTCTTTCATCGTGGCCCGGCATGACCAGGTGGTTAGGGAGCTTGACTGCAATCTGCGGGTCGCGCGGTTCGAATCCTCTCCCACCAAACATGCTCGCCCTTTCAGCCCTGGGGTGCGTTATAATGTGACGGTCAATCCCACTATTCGTTGGTAAAAGAGTAGCCCAAGAATTGGCGATGGGTGGTGATGACTAGCTGCCTTTCCTCTAGTCTTACACTGCTAAATTAGAGACGGCTAGCGCAGATAGCCCTCGTGTAGCTTTGCGCGAAATTAAAATAAACAAACAAACTTTTATCGTAGTTCCTGTCGCTTGACATTTTTCTCTTTGAATATACAGCTATCCAGTAGTAGTTCTGTGTAGCACTGGAGCAAGATAAATGGTGGTAAAAGATTATTTACTAATATCTATCGTCTGAGTATTTGTCTCTATAACCTTTATTAAACAGATACGTGCTAGTACATACTGAGAAACGTATTCGCCCTAGTCAACCTTCTTACTAGTATAGCTACATAAGAGGCACAATTCAGTTGCATTTTAACAAGTCTGATAACATTTAAAGCACATGTTTCAGCCGCGTACTTTCATTTTTCTCCAAAGCATATGTGGTGATAAACCTATAACTAAACTTTAACAATATCTAACATTCACTACAAACTGGTTAATTTGTGGTGATAAACCTATAACTACACCCTAAGAATATCTAACTTTCACTACAAACTGGTTCATTTGTGGTGATAAACCTATAACTAAATCCTAAGAATATCTAACTTTCACTACAAACTGGTTCATTTGTGGTGATAAACCT